TATATAATTCATGCGTCCCACATCCATCGTCTCATTGTTGGTTATATATATATATATATATATATATATATATATATATATATATATATATATATATATATATATATATATATATATATATATATATATATATATATATATATATATATATATATATATAGAAAAGGTTTCAATGTGCAACCAAAAGAGACATTTATAACGTAAAATAAAATAAAAGCCACTCAAATTTTGCACAAACGTTTTCGCTTTAATGTTAGCTCCTCAGGTGCATATTTACAATGAGTGGAATTTGGTTTATCTATTATCTACGTTCTATGATATCATATTATAATAACTATGTTAGGAATGCATATATTTACATGGTGTGAAGTCACCCGTTAAAAACATTCTATTGATCTAAATGTAAGCATAAACTTAATGGTTTTTTAATTAGCGTTCAGATCCGGATTCAGTATGTTGATAAGTACGTTCTTTTTCTTTCATCTCCCTAAAAAGTCTGTCCGTGTTAATGCATTGATATATAGGCATTATTTTGAAAATTCCGTTGTTACACATATTTAAGTGTTCGCTTACTTTTAGATGTCTATACTCTTCGTGTCGAATTTGTTCCTTGTGCAATGTCACTCTTTTTCGTAAGTTTTCTGTCTGGCCGCCGTAGAAGCTGTCGCATTTTGAGCAAATGATCACGTAAATGACATATCTCGCTTTGCAGTTCATCGTTGAATTGACTTTCCAGGTTTTTCCGCTCTTTAATGTAACAGACTTTCCTGTGATTAAAACATCGCATGTTCCACATCGCTTTTCCTCGCATTTTGTTACACAGTGTTCTCTGTCCTCTTAATTGAATTGTGCTTTTGTCAAGTATCGCTTCAAGTTCTTCGGTTGGCGTTTGCTTACAATGAGTTTTGTTCTGTCTAATACTCGTTTCATTTTCTCGGAATTGTTTAGAAATTTAAAGTTCTCCCTTATTTTTCCAATTACTTGAGGATTGTTGGGATTGTGAGTTATTACTAAAGGGAGATGAAAGAATTTTAGGGAGATGAAAGAAAAAGAACTTATCAATATACTGAATCCGGATCTGAACGCTAATTAAAAAACCATTAAATTTATGCTTACATTTAGATCAATAGAATGTTTTTAACGGGTGACTTCACACCATGTAAATATATGCATTCCTAACATAGTTATTATAATATGATATCATAGAACGTAGATAATAGATAAACTAAATTCCACTCATTGTAAATATGCACCTGAGAAGCTAACATTAAAGCGAAAACGTTTGTGCAAAATTTGAGTGGCTTTTATTCTATTTTACGTTATAAATGTCTCTTTTGGTTGCACATTGAAACCTTTTCTATATGTATATATATATATATATATATATATATATATATATATATATATATATATATATATATATATATATATATATATATATATATATATATATATATATATACAAAAACCTAAAGGGAGAAAACCCCCAAAGGATTAGATAAGCAAGGAAAACAGACATCCGGCCAAATTATCAAATAGATCTTCTGCCAACAAGTTCTGCCAAGTTAACGACACTAATGGCATTTTTCTGCCAAGCCGGCATTTCTTAGCTATCAGCAAAAGGCTGCAAAACATCTCAGTTCATATACTGTTTTCAACTGCCTTTGAGTAGACACCAAGAAAAATCCCACCTACCCACCCATTTATTACGCCTACGCACAAATAGGCAAGGGTCAACTGATAGATTAATTAATTAATTAATTAATAATAACTATATTGTAATTTGATGTAGTCAACAACAAATGTTTGTATTTATATTAGTTACTTGTTAAAGCAAAATTGTAAATTTCAATCGACTTATTTGAAGAACAAATAAAGAAAGAGGGGCGGAAAGTGGTGTCCACTCGGCGACACTTCACCCACGGTGAAGCACACACCGGCAAAGGGAGCAAGGTCCATAACGGCGGGGGCCCTTACCCTCGTCCTGATCTTCGCATCTCTCGGTCACTTCACCACGAGGAAGCCCGGTCTGGACACGAGTTTCAATTTCCATAACGGTGAGGGCCCTTACTCTCACCCTGATGTTGTTTTTCCAGCTTTTCTTGGGGCCCTTACCTCCAGAAACCGCACTTTCCGTCACCCAATTTGACCACAAAGGATTTGCGTGATTTATTAATCAAGTCTTTAAATCGAAGTTTAAAGCACGACATTTTGCCACACTCCTAATTGCACCTTCATGTAAATCGCAGACACCGAGTTATTTACACGTTTGCTTCAACGATTTTACTTCTTTATTAGGCAATGATATTGAACGTGGTTATTAGGTTTATTATGTAATAGTACCTGAAACCACTGTTTGCCGTCGTTCTCTGCAGCCACCCAACCTCCACTTCTTCGAACTGCACTGGCGTTCAGTCTCCCTGCAGGTGCAACACCCTGGATATTGTATGTTGAAGATGCAGTGATCTGATCATCTTTAATCTGACCTCCTGACATTCCCAGAGGTCTCGCATCCAGACATTCTAAAATCACCAATTGACATGACTTAATTAAATATGTATAGGATAAACACCGAGAAGGAAGGATTAATGTCAGATAATGACATGGTGTTTATCATATTAATTCTTGATTGAAGAGGTTTTCCAACAAAGTTTTGTCTGTTTTGTTTCCTTTTGTTTCCTTCATCTTTTGAGGTAATTAATATTCAAGGTGATTATTAAAAATAATCACCTCGGTACATGAAAGAAAATCGACTCAATCAAGAATAAATTATTATTATAAGGCTAGCAAAATGCATGAGCCATGAAATATATACCACTAGTGAACCTTCTCTCTCCTTTAATTTTCAGTTCATTTTTAGGAAATTCTCACTCGAACTCCCCGAGACAATGCGTATATTTATTACCCTTAATAGAGGCAGGAAAAAATATTTGCTGTATGTCTATCGCCTCAATTAGCATTTCTCACACAAGCCCACATGCACCAATTTTGGAGTACTGTCTTCCATGTCCGAGTATCTAGACAATCTAAACAATGTGAAAGTCACGTGACTTCAAAGTTGAAATTAAATTTACCATCACACACAACTGCAGTTATAAAAATAGGTACGCTGTAGCGTACATGGCGTCTCCTGGATAAAAAACAAAGAGTGCTTAATGTGAATAAAATACATGGAATGACCAATATTATTATAATAAAGATTGGCTATAACATATTCCACACATATACACTTTAATTTATTGTAGCTTCCATAGCAAATCCGGTTCGTCAATCAGTACTTAAATGTTAATGTATTAATTATACCATTTCCAAGATATTCATTCTTTGCAATATAGTTTGCAGCCAAAAACGTTTATTCACAGTAGGCGATATCTTTTCAAAGATTTCTTCGCTTTTGTGTTCCAGTGCTCCGATGACACGATTGCTGGACGTAATGAAGTTTTGCATTCAATTTGAACACAACGTTATACACTTGTAAAGTATAGTATCTTTCCAAGATAAATATGCAGACATTCCATGTTGATATTTCCAATTTAACATTGTTCTCTAAACGTATATCAGATGCTTTTATGAAAATTACTTTCACGTGACAGAGACCATGCATGGAAAATGTAACTTTGATACATCAATTTTTAGCTTGTTGCACGCGTCCGTACCACAGGGTCGATCGACGGTCCATTTTGATGGTCAAATCCGATAGAGATGAAACTGCAAAAAAATGTTATATTCCATATTTCTCCTGGAATACCGAACTTACAGTACAGTACAGTACAGTACAGTACAGTACAGTACAGTACAGTACAGTACAGTACAGTACAGTACAGTACAGTACAGTACAGTACAGTACAGTACTGTACAGTACTGTACAGTGCAGTGCAGTGCAGTGCAGTGCAGTGCAGTGCAGTGCAGTGCAGTGCAGTGCAGTGCAGTGCAGTGCAGTGCAGTGCAGTGCAGTGCAGTGCAGTGCAGTGCAGTGCAGTGCAGTGCAGTGCAGTGCAGTGCAGTGCAGTGCAGTGCAGTGCAGTGCAGTGCAGTGCAGATAAAAATGATAAAAATGTCTTTTTTGTTTTAAAATATATTATAAAAACGGCAGCTTTATAAAGAACCAAAGAAGTCATCCCTGCCACACCTCTCTACACCACGTAACAACAGTATAATCAATGAAAAGCAATTCTTATAGTTATTACAATTTTAAGATATAAAATATAAATTCACTAAATACATTATAAAATTCTCGTTCATCGAAAGCACTGCCAACAGACTCAACAGTGCATGTACATAGCGTCCTTGAACTTCGAAGATCAAGGTTTAAATTAATACCAAACATAAAATTGGAGAAAACAATACTAATAATTTTAATGTATAAAACAAAAGCAAACAAAGTCAGAGGATGGAAAAGATAGCAAATTCGAGATTTTTTAAGGTCTTTATCAAGGGAAGGAGAGTCATTGTCAACCACAATGCAATGTGCACCCAAACCTGCCTGGCAGCCATTTTCATCGCGGAATACCGTCGCTTGCAAATAAGGATGAGCGGTCGCAGATAAAACATTGTCTATTCTCATAACAAAGTTCAACTTTTTTACTGAGAAAATTCATCATGATGATCATTTGATCAGCTTGGAGCTGGTTAAACGTGATTGACTGATCATATTAAAACATGTCAAGTGCTCTTGACAACCATTGAAGATTCTCAGCTTTAAGCTGAGAATCTTCAATTTTTATCAAGAGCACTTGAAAATACCGTAACCCGCCCGCATGTATTTTTCGCACCGCATGAAATTTTTCATTGTTTCTATTTTCATTATTTCGCATTTTTTCGTTTCTCACATTGTTTTCTTGTCAAAGGTTTTTCATTCTTCCTGTTTTATCGACAGAATAATTGAAAATTTCAACGAAATCTTCAATTCAAGTCACCAATTCACAACAGATTAAATACTTTACAATAAGATTTCGGGTGATATAGTAGCTAGCTTTGCAGGCAAACGTTATTAAAGTACGTGTTTTTATATAATTTGTTGTTCTCCTGGGCGACAGGCTCCTAGAAAACTATTCCAGAATCGGAATAGTATTGTGCAAGGTTCATATCTTCGCCTTCGGTTCAATAAATGCTATTTAGATGAAAATACCGCCATTCGATTCAGTATAAAATTCTCTACTTATTCCTAACGATAGTTTTAGTCTATGTCAACTTTATAGAGATTTATGAGCTTTGAAAGTCAAGCAAGATCGTATATATTATCAAATTACACAATTTTCTGAACAAAAATATAGACTAGGCATACCTTTCGCCGAACATAACTTCGGCCCGGCATAGAAATTTTTAATTCCGGCATAGAAATTTAATTCCGGCATAGAAAGGTTTGAATACGGGTAAGCTGATACCAGTAATACCTCACTTCCATCGGCCTAAGTTTTGTGATCTCAATTTATATCAAATATGAAGTTGAACAAGTGGTCAAACGTATAAATTAAATATTAACTTAATTAATAGCCTCATTGCATGTGATCGAAGCTTTATAAATAAAATATATATTCTCACCGACTGATTACACTGAATACACTCAGTGAATGAGTGAAATACAATATAAAGTACGTTATTATTTATTGAATACACGAGACTGTATACTCTAACAACTCAGAACAGCTTACCTTAATACTGAAGAAACTTTCTTCGAAGCTGGAAATTTGCAATTTTTTTAGTTTATTCCAAAAAAAGAAAGAGCATGATAGAATTAGAATGAGTTTTACTCAGATTTCACTCGCATGTTTCAAACCATTTATTTATCGTAAACACTTTCGTAGATGCGCGGGCTTTAACCTAACCAAAGAGCCTGTTCGCAGGAGACGTGAACCGTCCACTGCATACAAACATACATAGATATATCTAAACCTCTTGTCGATTACTGTTCCAGTAGACGCCAAAAAGTCGCATTTCCTGGTTTTACACTCTCAAACTTGAGAGGAGCAGTTCCCCCAAAATGGCGGATGAGCACAGCGTGAGAAAGGCTAATTGATTACTTTCGATCAAGAAAATGAATACTATAATATATTTAAAAAATTAAAATAATAAAAAAGTGTGATGAAATACATTTGTGATTGCAGAAGATCTATATGATATATAAAAACAGGATCTCTTGCAAAAAAGAAAATACAGGGAATTTCCTCGCGTCCTACCTGTCTCACAGTATCTTCCGCTGTATCCATCTGCGCATGTGCAGTTAAAGAAGTTATAAGTTGTGAAGAGGTCATTACAAGTTCCATTATTATTATCACAAACATCAGTATCTACAATATTTTCATATGAGGAAAATTTTATATGAGACTACACATGAAGTATCTATATAATATTTATTTATGATAAATAATACTTGAAATGGATGCTCCAATTTTCAAATGCTCCAGGTCTAAAATGTATGTTATTATCGCACAAAATTTCTAGCATCATAAACACTTCAACATTGTATCCAATTGAACGAGATTCCCAAAACGGTGAATGCCTCAATATCTTCCAAATGAGAAAAAAACTGAAAGTAATCAATTTCATATTCAGCTACAATTCCAAAGATAACTGAAAATACATGGGATTTTTGTAGATCGAAATTTCGAACTAAAATTTATACACAATTTAGACCTAACAGGGAGCAGTGGCGATGAATGTACCTTTAGGCCCTCTGGCAGGAATCGAACATGAGGCGCTGCGATCCCGGTGCAGCGCTCGCGCGTCTTCTACCACTGAGCTTGATACTTGCGCAATATAAGTTAATAAAAAAGAATAATTATTAATTTATTATTACTATGTATATACACTGTATCTATATACGGGCAAATATCAAAATTTTGGGCATCTCGTTCATTAGAATCTGACAAAAATTTATATATAATTTCTTCTATGTTTGGTGTAATGTACTCAGGTGAATTTGATGCTTGTGATGTTACTCTGAGTGTATAATCCACACCAGGCAAGCTTGAAAAATATGCCTGGCCACGGTGAGAATCAAACCTACGCCCTTTGGAATACTAGCCTATTGCTCTGTAGGCACGCTAGGTAAACATACAGGTAAACAAACGTAAACAAAATGTAGGCAGGCTAGGTAAACATGCAGGTAAACAAAGCCATTTGTAAATTAACAAAGCCTGTTATTGGTTCTTGGATTAAGAGAAATCAATCATACGCTTAGCTTATAAACTGGTTTGAAAATATTGTTGTGAAACTCATTACTGATAATTCATAAAGAAACTCAAAAAAAATCATGATTGTTACGGAGTTTGTATATCTAATACAAAATCATGCTGATTTACATAAACTTTAAGTTGAATTTTCTCGCAAACTTAACATTATAAAAAATGGTAACTCAATACCTTCATAACAACCCATAAATTCCAGTCTCATTGCAGGTTTCGTGCCATTCCAAGAAAGCGGAGTAACACGGATACTATTTACCACAAGTATTAACGGAAATGTATAGTTCACAGTTGTGTTGGCCTCGGCGTCACGTAAAAATACCTAAAAAATGAAAGGATAAAAGCCTATTTAATGTATTAGAAAAAAATCAGAAAATACTAAAAGAATAGTGAACTAGAAAGTTTTATCTGAATAAATGCATTAACTGAAAGTTTTTTTGTAAATTTTAAGCCGGCTTCCAAGAATACATATTCATGTTGACGGATTGACAGCGCTCTTCACATTCGAGAAAAAACTGGGACTGACCTTCAAGTTTGGCTTCAAATTTCCGGTTGGATATAGCGTTACACTTATATTCATTTCACTGGGTGAACATTTCCCAAATGTTGTTATCCAGTGGTCCATTTAATTTGTTTCCAAAATAGCTGCATTACGTCATGAAAACCGAAAGAACAAACAATTTTTTGTGTACAAATATTTTCGTAAACGTTCACCTGAGACACTTAGACTGACTGCGATAGAGTAAGAAAGGAGCTGAGACGCTCTTTCAGCGGTCCACATGCCGCCAAAATGGCGTCTTTAATATAGCCCGCGTGCAGGCCCAAGGAAGAATAGTGGGCCTGCAAGCAAGACCCGGTATTGTGTACAGTACTGCTCAGAAATAACCTAACACTGCGTTCGCGTTCCGAACGCGTTCCAAACGCGTTCCGAACGCGGTCGGAACGCGGTTGGAACGCGCGTTCCAGAGGAAACTTGGAAACGCGTTCCCCACTTTGGCTAAAAACCGCGTTCTCGCATCGGAAAATCCCGACACCGAATGAAACATGAGCTACTGTAGGTTTTGACAGGTGACAACTATGAACAATTAATATCAAGCTTCATCCCGGGCTGAAATACCAGCCCAGTTTGATCCAGACTGAAACTCGACACAGTCCGGTCTGTAATCACAAATAATTTTAAAAAATCGTCTTAACGGCTTTGTTCAGCGTGTTTGTTTCAACTGTATATGTAACCATAAACACACAAATCAAATAGCCGAAAATGCTTCAAATCGCGATCGTGTCAACCCGAGCTATAGAAAGGTCTGTGTTGTGCACATGCTACATTTCAGCAATTTAACAACATGGGATGAAAATAGTTCCGACTAAAACTCAGCCGGCTCAAACTGCTCAAGGGCAATCAAATAGATCGCTATCAAATGTACGATGGCCGAGGAGGGCCACTTCTTACTTCCGACTTCTGACTTCCGACTTCTGACTTCCGACTTCTGACTTCCTGCTACTGACTTTTTATGCCTTTCCAAACCGATTGTTTCGATTCTGCATTAATTTTGCTGATAACGTGTAAATATACCATAATTTTCTTATCCAGAATTTCCGAATTCATTATTTTATTTCATTTTTTCAATTTTATGTTGCCGTGTTTCCAACAGTATTTTCATTCTTTGTTAGCAATACTTATTTTTGATATCGTTATTTTTGATAATTTCGTATAAAAAAGACTATGTTCAACGAGATATTCTCTACACCATTGCGATTCACTGTCTCAACGGTTTAAATTTAGCTGTAGGGGAACAATTAAATTGGATAATTAAAATTAAAATTTAACATTTGCATAACTTATTTCTAAAATTTAGCTCAAGAACTTTCCAAAAGTCCCGAATTCCGACAGGCTGACTTCTATACGATCTTTAATCTTTAATCTTTAACTAGAAAATACATGCATGCAGAAACCCTCGCCTTGCAGACAAAACCATTTTATTTTCCGAACGTGAAGTATTTTAAGTAGTTGTCATGGTAACACGATAATTTTTTAAGAATATTTTTACAAATGAAAAATCCCTATAAATATCACTTTTAATTACAAAATTATCAATTTCCTAAACATATATATGTTAGGTATGTTATTATACGTAATATAAGCTTGAATTTAAGGTAAAATTCAACCACAAACGCTTCGCAAAACGTTTTAAAATGTTCTTTTACTATAGAACAAAACTGTCTTTATCGATAAACTTTGAGTTCGAAATAAAATGATTCCAAATTCTCCCACGCAAATAACTTTGCTGAATAAAAAGTGTAATCAATAAAGAAACACTGAAATAATACGCTGTCTTGTTTCATATTTATACACAACGATCGGCTTTTAAAGTAATTACAGTAGGTATGTTATTATACGTAATATTATAAGCTTCAATTTAAAGTAAAATTCAACCACAAACGCTTCGCAAAACGGTTGAAAGTGTTCTTTTAATATAGAACTAAACTGCCTTTATCAATAAACTTTGAGTTCGAAATAAAATGATTCCAAATTCTCCCATGTAAATAACTTTGCTTAGTATAATAAAAAGTGTAATCAATAAAGAAACACTGAAATAATACGCTGTCTTGTTTCATATTTTATGTACGCAACGATCGGCTTTTAAAGTAATTACAGCCGAGATTACAGTATATTAAAAGCAAACAATGCATCAATATTTAAAACAAACTTACCTTCGTTAACGTCGGCACCTTTACTTCCTTCTTTTAGCAATCCTCTTGCCTTTATTTCATCAAAAATCCTTTGCAATTTACAAAATCTTGCACAAATGAAATACATTTGCAAGAAATCATCAAATCAATTTCGCTGTCGTCAATCGTCATGCAGCCGTTATAACGCCAATTTTAAATTGGACCAATCAGTGTTGGCTATTCATTACAGTCCGCTATATTATGAGATCAGTGAGGATGACCACCCACCGAAACACGCACAGTGACCCACGCCCGCGATATTTGATGAACTTTAGACTTCGCTAATGCTTTCGTTTCCCCGGGTGTAAATAGCCGGGGGGAATTAGTACCCTCGCACGGCGCTTCGCGCCGCCGGCTCGGGGATAAAATTATTTAAACACGGTAGCCTGTTCAGCAGATAATATTTACAGCGCTGGTTTTCAAAGGGCCGTGTGTTTACAACAATAATATAAAAAGGACAAAAAGAATATAACTATTTACAATGAATTGATACGGATGAATTAAGTAATTGCCGTTTAAACGACAAAGTTGAAAGATTGTTATAATTTTCAATAGTTTCACTTGGAAGTTCGTTCCAGGACTTAGCAGCTCTATACGAGAAACTTTGTTTGAGAAAATTTGTCTTAGGTTTGGGTAGGTTCAATTTAATTTGATTGCTTCTTAGATTGTAATTGTCATTTTGACTTACTGAAAACAATTTTTCAAGGTATCGAGGTAATCGACCAGTTAGTACTTTAAATGTCATTATTAACTGTCGTTGTTTTAGAAGTTCTTCTATTGGAAGCCAATTAAGACTATCTAGCGTTTGCATGGAACGAACCTCATATGTGTCCCC